CAGTCCTGCCACTTGGATTTTTTTCATAACACGCCTTTCACAGGCCATTTTGTTAAACCCTTCCACCAAATCATGGGGGAAACATTGTCAGAAGCTGAAGTGGGGAAGGAAGATGGAGGAGGAGGAGGGCATCGGGCAGCCGTGGGAGACCTACTTTTTTGGACAGTGGTAATTCTGTTAGAGTTTCTTTTGAAGAGAGGTGGCATATATGAATGCATGACCTGCCATAACTTTTTCCTGAGTATGGTCCTCCAAGGTTTTGACAGTTTATTAAAATTGTAACAAGAGAAGGAAAGAGCACGTGCAGCTCTCTACAAAATTATCTGTCTGCTGTTTGTCAGTTACCTAGAAGGAGTGCAGTGTCGACTCCTGAAACCAAACCAGACACTCATCATGTGCTTACCAGGCATGCGATCTCGGGGCCTCAGGGCCTGTTTATACTCAGTCTTCCTCTGCAGAGGTGGGATCATGACAGTAGCCAATTCCTGTTAGTGAGAGGATTAAAACAGGAGGTTTGCACACACGGGCTCCTAGTCCAGCTGAGCACAGAAGCACTCAGGAAATGTTAACTTTCTCACCAGAGAAGAGAAAACCATCCAGCCTGTGGAGAGAGGTGAAAGGTAGGAACTTCAAGTCTACCCTGGGTGAGGTGACTGGAGAGATCAACCAGCCTCCCACACTGGAAGCAGTGCCCAGCTCCACCAGTGGAGCTTGCTGCTCTTCAGGCATTTGGGAAGTCTGTTTTTCTGGAAATGATGGAAGAACTGAAATGATGAGAAATCTCAACAGCAGCAGCTGATGTGTGGGGCTGGTGACATCGGAGACCAAAGGAGACTTGAAACATGTTCCAGATGATTTGGTTAGTGTCCTATGGAAGATGCTTGTTCAGCTATGTTCATAGCAGCTTTATTCATAACAGCAAGAACCTGGAAACAACAAAGATGCCCCTCAACCAAATACATTTACACAATGGAGTATTACTCAGCTATTAAAAAAAAGAACATCAGGAAATTTGAAGGCAAATGGATGGAACTAGAAAAAAAAAACCCTTAGTGAGGTAACCCAGACAGAGAAAGACAAACATGATATGCACTCACTTATAAGTGGATATTAGCTGTAAAATAAAGGACAGCTGTGCTACAATCCACAGACTCAGAGAGACTAGGTAACAAGGAAGGTTCATGGGGGGACTCCCAGATCTCCCTGAGAAGAGGAAATAGAAGAGATTTCATGAGTGAACTGAGGGCCAGTGAGGATGGGAACATGAAGAATTAGGTCTAGGGGTTGTGGCATGAAGTGGGAGAGTACTGAAAGAGACTTACTGGAAAGGGAGGTGCATTTCAGGACCAGGTGAAAACTTGGTGCAAGGGAATCACCCAGGAATCTACAAGGATGACCCCAGCTAAGACTCTTAGCAATAGTAGATATGTAGCCTGAACTGGCCATCTTCTGTGACCAGATTGGTGCCTAGACCAATTGTCATCAGAGAGGCTTCAACCAGCAGGTGATGGAAACAAATGCAGACCCACAGCCAAACATTAGGCAGAGTCAGGTGAATCCTGCAGAAGAGCGGGGGGAAGGATTGTTGGAGCCAGAGAGGTCAAGGACACCACAAGAAAACCCACAGAATCAGCAAAGCTGGGCTCCTAGGGGCTCACAGAGACTGAACTGACAACCAAGGAGCCTGCATGACCTAGGCACTCTGCATATATGTTACAGTTGTGTGGGATCAAAATTTGGACCACAACACTCACATAACAAGCCCTTGTCCCAGAGACTTCTGCAATTCTAGGTCTGATGCAGGCAGAGACAGATCCTAGGGGGTTGCAGGCTTCCAGCTGAGCCCAGAAATGTAAACTCCAGGTTCAGAGAGAGCTGCTGCTTCAAAGGGATGGGTGGAGAGTAGCAGAGGAGGACACAGTGCTCTCTTGTGGCCAGTACACATGCATAAGCATGCATCCCTCCTCACTAGGCTGTGCATTCACACACACACACACACACACACACACACACACACACACACACACACAACCACACCACACATCATATGCACACACATCACACACATATACAATACACATATATATACACACCACACACTACACACAGCACACCACATACACACCACACACGCACACACCACATATACACACTACACACAAATACCACACCACACAACTTACACCACACATATACATACACACACACACATAATACAAACACATACATAAACATACCACACAAACACACACAGCACGTAGCACAGAACACATTGTAGCTGGGTGGAGAGAGGAAGTGAGATGGCAGAACAGAAAGGCATATAGGCGTGAGTATACAGGAAGTAGGTCTCTTTGGCTGAGGATCTCCAAATGGTAAGAACGTGGCTGGCTTCCTTCTGCTTTTCTAATATCTCAGGTTTTAACCCCAATATCTGGCTCTGGGTTTTTCTATTAATTCAACCTTTTAAGATTCATCTTACAGCACACAACCACACATACTACACAAGCATACACACACACACACACACACACACACACACACACACACACCATACAAATGCACAAATCTTAAAAAGAAATTAAAAACACAGGCTAATGACCTAGTCTCAAGTTACAAGTAGTCACTATTAGAGCTGGGATGTGTCAAAGCCTTTGCATGATGTCACATTTCTCACCTTAAGATAGTAATCCACTATCATTTTCATTCTGTCCTAGATTTCCCTGGGGTGTGACTCTCTTGTGGCCTGACACAGACTATCTCAATCTAGCTAGAGAAATCACTGTCCACTAATCTGTGAGCACTGGTTCTCTCAAGACAATCTGGTGTTGACAAGCATCAGCAGCATCCTGGGAAGCGAGCATATGCCTTCCACTCAGCCCTTCCAGTTCTTCCTGTTAAGCTTGCCTGAGCCCCTCCAGCTACCCTGAAATGGAACATTTGTTTGAGGCACATCTTTTCATTGTTTTAGGAATATTTTCTTTACTCATGTCATGTATGACACATGTGCTGGCTTCCAAAGAGTCTACAAGAGGACATCAGATCTCCTGGAGGTGGGGTCACAGGAGGTTGTGAGCGGCCAAGTGGGTGCTGGGAACTCGGATCCTCTGAAAGAGCAACAAGTACACTAACCTGCTAAGTGAATGAAATTGAGGACATGATTGCTCCTAGGTACGGTCGAGGAGAAGGTTCTACTGTAGATATGAGGGAGAGAACAGACAGAGCATCTGGAAGGATCCAGGCTGAACTGGGCCATGTAAGGGGAGGTCAGTGAGAGGAAGGAAAGAGAGGGAGAGGGGACTAAGAGAGGAGGAAGAGAGGAGCTGCAAGGACCGACAGGCCAAAAGCAAAGAGACCAAGAGGGCACACAGCCAAAGTAGCTGAGGTGGACAGGGATCCCAGACGCTGGGGGTGGAGAGTGAAACCCAGTCCCTGGTTTGGAGAGGTTTAAATTAGAGTTTGGAAGTGTTGGGACGAACTACAGTACTGAGTGAGACTTTGTCTCAGGTTTGTTTGTTTGTTTTTTTTTCTTTTTTCTTTTTTGTTTTTTCGAGACAGGGTTTCTCTGTGTAGCTTTGCTCCTTTCCTGGAACTCACTCTGTAGCCCAGGCTGGCCTCGAACTCACAGAGATCCGCCTGGCTCTGCCTCCTCAGTGCTGGGATTAAAGGCGTGCACCACCACCGCCCGGCTTGACTCAGGTTTCTTTGGGGATCTGACACTAAGCGTCTCTCCACTATCTTCATTTCCTTCTTTTCGATTGTTTGTTGTACATTTGTGTGTGCCGGTCCCTGTCTACGGGAGTGCGGGTATGTGTGCTTGTGCAGGCCTGAGGTCAGCTGTAGGTGTCATTGCTCAGGCACCGTCTACCCTAGTGTTTGAGACAGTGAGGCCAGCTCAACAGCAAGCCCCGGGGACCAGCCTGACTCCCTCTCAAGTGCTGAGGTTGTGAGTGTACGCCAGCACACCAGCTTTTGAAAGGTGGGTTCTGGAGATCAAAGCCAGCTTCGAGGCCATGGGCACTGAGGATGGAAGAAAGGGGGCACAACTCCACTGAGCTTTTTAAAAAATTACCTCTTGCCCCCAACAACGGGTAGTAAGTTCTCTTTCTCCTTTCTTTTTTTCTTTCTTTCTTTCTTTCTTTCTTTCTTTCTTTCTTTCTTTCTTTCTTTCTTTCTTTCTTTCTTTCTTTCTTTCTTTCTTTCTCTCTCTCTCTCTCTCTCTCTCTCTCTCTCTCTCTCTCTCTCTCCCCTCCCTCTTCCTTCCCTTCCTACCTTCCTTCCTTTCTTTTCTTACCCCCCCTTTTTTGTGGTTGCCTTTGTCTCCAGCAGTTTAAGTTTCTATTTCTCTAAAATATAGCCCATTTTCTTCACATAGAGTGGGGTTGTCTGTACTGGCTACACCACAAAGCACAGAGGAGGTCAAGGGACCCACTTTTACCCTAGTTGATCAACAATTCCAGAAGCAGAAACATTATCTCTGCTAGAGAAGGGGTACAGAGACATCTCCAGAGCAAAGAAAAGTGAAGGAGGGCGACTAGCCACGGAGGGTATCCTAGACACCAAGCAAACCTCAGGTCCTTTAAAGCCGATGGTTGCCCTGCTCTGAGGGCTCCTCTTCTGTGTAAGAAGTCTGCAAGGCTTGCTCATAAACACACTGACTGTACACGGTCTCATTTCTCTGTCTTTTAATTCTTTAACTGATGGAGACAGAGAAGCCACCTGGCAGCTGTATCATGCCTATACTTTCCTGATTGGGCTAGCTCTCCAACCCTCTATGCACATCTGAATTCATCAAGTGGGCAGTACAGGAGGCTGGTTCAAGGCTTCTTAATCAGAAAAGGAAACATGAAGGAACATCAAGGGAGCTTTCTGTGGTCTTTTGATAAGATGTTGCAATGGGAGACAAGGCCACTGAGGAGTTAACTGAAATCACAGATCAGGAAGGAGGAGCCCCAGGCTCCAAGTGGCTAATCTTGGAGTCTGTTTCCAAGATTATAACCTGCTTTATGCAACCCTCAGAACCAAAGAAACTTTAACAAAGGATTAAAAGTTATGTAAACAAAGATCCCTTTATTTATCCCTCTAGTTCTCCAAGGAACAGGAGGCTCCTGCCTACACTCTGCTTTGCTTCTCTCCTGCCAATCACCCAGTAGGTAAGACATGGCAGCATTGATGAGCTTACAGACCAGAAGCCACAGTCAATGGTGAAGAACGCTCAGGTAAAAGTCGCTCATTTCCTCTGGTTGTTGTGGGTGCAATCCAGCAATTTTTGCTTGGAGAAACACAAGGTAGATTTAATTCTAAATTATAAATTTAAGATTCTTTTGAGTTTTCTAATATTTGATCTTTAAATTCCTTATAGCAACAGCAACTGTATTTAATACTGGATGTATTCTGTGCAGTGCAGCATGATGTTTGCTTGTTCCTACACAAAGTTTGGTGCACCTGGAGTTTTTAAATGTATAGCTACAAGTGGTTGGGTGGATTCAAAGTGAGTCTAACTGAGTCTCAGGAGTGCTGTTTTCTTTCTGCTTTGCCAGTGTCCTGGAAGGCCTCCCCTCCTTTATCTAGTTCCTTTCTTATAAGCCTTGCTCTCTCCATATGTTCTTGTCACCACACTCTTCAAGTCTAAAACCTGGAGCTATGACCACCCACACTGTCCACACACACTGCTGACAGTCACACACACACACACACACACACACACACACACACACACACAGACACACACACACACACACACCATGGGCATTTCTGTTGAAAATGAAAAAGCAAGACCATTACTTAAAAACAACAAACACGAAAGCACAGTCAGTTGCTGCTTATCTTCATATTTCTTTCTGTATTCATGAAGAACGTATGAAAGCATATGTTATTACATGTAACCATGGAGACGTCTCTCATTCATGAGTTTAAGACCATTGGATATTCAGGATATGTTGCTGTATTCATTTAATGCTGCCTTGGGGAAATCTTTCAGTGTTAGCATGCACACCTAATTCATACTTGGTCCTTAGGTGACAACAGGTGTGTCCCCCAGCCACTGGGTATTGGGCACCTCTTCATTTCCTTCATTTGCTGTGTGAACTCAGAGGCATATGTTGTTTGGGGTGCATTTCCTCAGCACCAGCAACCCCTGTAAAAACCTCACTCTGGTCATTTCCCTATGTGTTTTTTCCCATTTACAGGATTTCCCCCCACACACATTAGAATGGAACATTTTGCTTTTCATATATGTTTCAAACATTTCCCCATGACATCATTTTTACTCTATTTTTAGTGTTATTAAACCTATATGTTATTGGATTATTATGCAATAGGTCCACATTTTCTCATTATGCTTTTTGTTTGGTTTATGTTGTTTTTGCCTCCCCTTGTTAATAATATCTTTTAAAAGATGTTTTTCCTCAGCTTGATATTTCCCTAGTGTTTTTGCAACTTAAAATTTTTTTCCATTAAAATCTCTGATCTCCTGCCTTTTAAATTTTTGCGCATAATATTAGCCAGGGCCATCTCTTTTCTGGTTTTGCTAGAGGGGACTTGGATACATGATTAAGACCATTTATTAATGCTTTGCTTTTCCTGTTAAGCTATTCTTACATATTATACCTCCATCGATCCTGGTTCTGGTTGGATTCAGTTTTCTGCCATCAGCCTGCTTGTTTGTATTTGTGCTCAAAGCATACTGTTTTAATTAAAGCAGTGCCATGAATGGATCTCATATGGCAGTGCCTACAATTTTCAGTATTCATAGGCAAATCTGACATATTTATTCTTTGACTTAACTTTTAAAGTTATTTCAATTTTGTAACTAGAGTTTTCCTGCCTTGCCCACAGTCAGAAAAAATCTTTGTCACTCGCCAGTCCCACAGCCGCTCAGACCCAACCAAGTAAACACAGAGACTAATATTGCTTACAAGCTGTATGGCCGTGGCAGGCTTCTTGCTAACTGTTCTTATAGCTTAAATTAATCCATTTCTATAAATCTATACCTTGCCACGTGGCTCGTGGTTTACCAGCATCTTTTCATGCTGCTTGTCATTGGCCAGCAGGGACTCCTTCTGCCTTCCTGTTCTTTCTTTTCTCCTCTCTGTTAGTCCTGCCTATACTTCCTGCCTGGCCACTGGCCAATCAGTGTTTTATTTATTGACCAGTCAGAGTAATTTGACATACAGACCATCCCACAGCACAACTTATTTGTTAAAACTATACATATTTATTTATTTATTTATTTATTTATTGTCTGTGTGTGTCTGTGTGAGTGTATATGTGTGGCACATGTAACACATGTGTGTGAACGCCAAGAAAATCAGTTCTTTCTTCCCAGTGCCTGGTTTCCAGGAATGGATCACAGGCTGTTAGCCTCTCTGTCAATGCCTTTACCTGCTGACCTATCTCATCAGCCCTAAATTGTGGGCTTTACACGTGTTCATAATTTTCCATAATTAAAGCAATTTTGTTTTTATTAACACAGACACACACACACAGACACACACACAGACACACACACAGACACACACACACACACACACACACACACACACACACACACACACACACACACTTCATTTCTTGTCCTAATAGGCTAGAAAAGCTGCCTTGCTACCTAATCCTAGTGCTGTTGTGGGGATGGCTTGCTTCTCTCATGGATACTGCAGAACTTAGTGAGACTTCTGCTATGCTGTTTTATCTTCTTCCATCCCTAGCACAGGATGAGCAGTGAGATTTGTTATTGTATGTGCTCGGTTCTCTTATCCATTGACCACCAGAGGCTTGAGTAAAAGACTGCTTCTAAGTACTAGCAATATATAAATATCTAAGGTTGTTATATGTGCTTCTTGATCAACTAAACTACTGTTTCATTACTGTGATCAAATACCCAACAAGAAGGAAGTTAGAGGAAGAAGGGCTTATTTTAGCTAATGGTTTAAAGTACAATCTATCATGGTGGCATCTGCAGGAGGGGGTTGTTGGTGGACTAGTAAACAGACGGGACAGAAGTAGGGCCAGACTAGAAACCACAAGGCCATCTCCACAAAGGCCTACGCCCTTCAGATGGGTTTCACCTCCCAAGTGGCTTTGCCACCTGAGCCTGTGGACGACATTTTCATCCATGACAGCTAAGGAGGGGCTGTTAAGGCATGTTTTGTCCTTCCCAAAGGTGAGTCTGTAGAGCTCTCCAGAACTGCTCAGGGGACACTTGCTCTAGTTGCTGCCCTCAAGTGAAGTCACAATTCATGCTTTCGCTCAGCTGCTTCATCAAGCTGACATGAAAGAGGGGAAGATGCCTGTAGAGTCAGTCACGTGATGAGTCTGCTTCAGACGTTCCTAAGGATTTAATGCTTGTCTGTGGGGGCAACAGTTCACCACTTCCAGAAACTCAACTTTTCTCTGTGAAGATCGTCATTGAATTACGACTGTGTTAGACTTACTGATCAAAAGTATTGATGCAAAAACAAAACTCTCATCTAAGAGGGGATAAAGGGTAGTTTAGTCTGGAGTCAAAAATGAGTGACCACGGCTCACAAACACAGGCTTAGGCTACCCCAAGGTCCACGCTCCAATGTGGGAACAGTTTAGAGAAACAGAACAAAGAAATTCATAGATCAATTCATTTTCAAACCCCTCAGTGGAAACATCAGGTAGGAGGATTAAAACAAAGCGGAGACATCTGTGCCGTAGGCCTGGATACTTTCCAGCAGTGTTTTTAACCTTTTGGTTGGGTGTAAAGCCAGCACTCTGTACGTTTCAAATGGTTCAGCAATGAGCACAAAGCTGTGTGCAAGCACAGAGAACAGTTGTACACAGTTATGAAGAGGGATAAAAATGGCCCAAGATTATTTGTCTTTGGACCTGTCACGTTCTAACCTCTCTACAACCACTGGCATTCACATCAGTTAATTGGCTTTGTGGGAGTTTCTGTTGCTCACAAAAGACAGAAGGTTCATTTTCATTTATCTATCTATCTATCTATCTATCTATCTATCTATCTATCTATCTATCTATCTATCTATCTATCATCTATCTATTTATCAGGACAAGGTTTCTCTGTTTGTGTAACAGTCCTAGCTGTCCTGGAACTCAGAGATCTGTCTGCCTCTGCTTCCCAAGTGCTGGAATTAAAGGTGTGTGCCACCACCACCTGGACTCATTTTCAATTCTTAATGTTTTGTGTAAAGAGCTAGTTTTATGAATTCCATTTAATTGTATAAATTCCTCCCTTTAAAAATAAAGAGTCCTACTAGTCCATCATAACCTGGAACTCACTATGTAGGCCAGGTTAGGGTTGAACTTACAGCAATTCTTCTGTCTCTGCCTCCTGAGCACGGGAATCACAAACATGCTTCCTCCACCAAGCCCTGTTGGTTTGAATTCTTCACAGTTACATATCCAAAAAAAAAAAAAAAAAGAAAAAAGAAAAAAAAAGCCAAAAGACCAAAGATTATTGGTGAATGCTAATTTTCTTAAAGTTTATTGAAAACAATCAAAATTCATAGAGAAGTTTGTTATTTGGTTATGAGAATCATTCCTTTGTTGATTTCTGAGAAATATTTTGAAATATATTCTCTAGATGTATGAAAGGATTATTGACCACACCTGTCCCACTTAGATGATATCAACTCTAACCAAATAATTAGTTGGATATGTCTAATGTGGGACTTCCCTGCTCCCTAATAAGTTAAGGGAAGGTATATTTGCTTCTGTTAACTTCTAATTTTTCTAATCTGGAAGTCTCTGAGATGCTTCAACACAGATTCAAGATGGATTGAAGAATAGCTTTTGGAGAATTTTGTATCTAGATTGATGAGACATTTCCTTCATAAATCAACAGTGCTTTAAAAAAATTAGAGTTTATCATCCTCTGAGCAGGAATATCCCTCCTAAACAAAGGAAACAGCTTCCTAAGGTTTAGGGTGTTGCCACTTCAATGGCTTTGGAGAGCATTTGCCTTCCTTCTATAAACACATAGGTATTGTGCTTTTAAGAATGCAATGAAATCCCCTGTAGGAAAATTAACTACAAAGCTAAAGTATTTGGCTCCTACTACAGAGGACATGCACAGGAAGCCTGTTCTCATGGGTGTCCCCTGGGGAAATAACAGTGAATTCTTTGATAAAGGGGAAGGAATGGGCATTTTAAGAAGGTGAGAGATAAGGCTTTCATCTGAAATGTGGGAGAAGAAATTATGTAAGAGGAGCCTGGAAAAACAGGCTAAAGA